AGATTAGAAAAAGTGGAATTCTTATTATAGATTTTTGGCAATATTATCTGTCAGTTTCAATGACATCTTGTTAATTGAGAAAAATAAAAAAATATAATATACTGCAAATTTGCGCACAGCTAAGAACGGCTGCAATAAATGTCTTATTTTTTTTAATGGGTAGACCAACCGTACGAAGCCAAGCCGGACAGCTAGTTTTTGATAAAAATAAAAAAAATCCATACTTTCTCAAAACACTTGTATATTCTCTCAAAAAGTGGTTATCGACGTGAACCAAGAACCACTGTGTTGAGAAGGAATCACACTTCAATCAAAGACCTAATAAAACTGAGTTTAACCACTCACCTTTGCCACAAGGTGTTAAGAAGTTAAGAGTGATAGAGTAACTTTTCTTTGTCCCTAACATTCTGAAACATGAATATACGATTTGGTCGAAATTTCACCAGAATCGGGCAAGAATTCAAAAATTACAGGGCGAACAACTTGGCTGAAATTTTGGTAGCCGTTTTTTTTTGCCGGTAATTGCCATGTCGAAAGATAATTCCATTGGATGAGTCTCTCGAGTTCGAGTCGGTTCAAATTAAGGCAAAGTTGCGCTAGTTAATGCTGATCAAAATGACGCCTCAAAAGTTTGGAAATTCCGAACACTTCCGAAGATATTTGGAACAAACCGAATATCCGGAATTTCGTTTGACAAAATAGTTTGCATATTATCATTGCTACTTTTTCCGCTCTATCCGATGGTATTAATAGATTTGTAATCCGACGTGTCGTCTTCGAGGAACCATCATCAAATTATTAAATGATCGAAAAAAGCTTTATAGCCCTAAAACACATTAATTTCAATGCTTTTCCGATTATTTTTCGAAGGATGAACTTACAAAGTCATTCAAATAATATTTCCGATTTTCAAGAGCGATTGGTAGTACGAATAATTTTGAACAAATGTTTAGATTTATTTTTTGTAGTTTGTGAGGTTATGAGAAGTTTTCAACGTTTTGCTGCACCTATATAAATGTTTTACCAAAATTTAATTTCGACAAGTGAAAACGTTAACGTATGAAAGGCGAAAGATATGTTCCTGTTCATTTCTGTAGATAGTAAAAGCAAAGAGCAACTGTAATACTTATAAAGTACACTCTGTTGTTGACTCACACAACACCAGGAAAAATAACAATCTGATACTGCCTCCCACACGCTTGAACATATATGCCAAAACTTTTCCATTCCTTGCCCTCCTTTCAACAATGAGGAAGATTTTCTTATGCTTATGAAGAGTAGAGATGTCCTCTTGTGATATGCATTTATTTATTTAGATACTTTTTCCTTTTTACATTTTTTATTCTATTGTTGTAGTCAATGATCCATCATTATTCGTATTATTTTCGATCATTTATAAAGAAAATATTTTCTCAACAAATCATAACAAATCGAACAGATCGAATTTTGTTGATTGTGGATTGAACTGCAGTCCAAAACAAAACCCTGAGAGAGTAGTTGATGTCTTCGATTTCGTCATTTCTTTTATATCTTACGAAATGTTACCGCCCAGAGAGTTGATTGAACCCACGGGTGTTTTATTTAACACATACCTCATAATTCATCCAGTAACTCAGTTTCAAAACTTTCTTGTGTTTTTTGTAGGAACCTCAACACGTCAATAAGAAATCACATACACCGGTAAGAAATTCAAAGAAAAGTATATGTCTTCCTGTACCAGACTGGAACCATGACGGAATAATGAATTAAAATTACATCATTTCATGCAATTTTGTTCATCGAAGCATATGATACTCAATAAAAATTACCATATTAGTCGTTTTGGCTTCATCACTATGTCATACGCCTTCACAGTTTCGATAACAATGTTAGCATCTTCAGGAGAAGATTGAAACCGTTTTGTTGTCTGCACAATCATAATTGCCATGCGCACCAGGTTGCCAATTTTATCATGATTTCAACACTGGGACACGAAATATCCAACAATCAGACATGAAATTCTAATCGTCGGAACCCTGGATATTGATTCATTGCTGCATTGGAGGTACTCTTCAGAGTTTCAGCATTTCAGTGACTTGGCCACGAATGACATTTACATCATTCAACATTTTATAGCCTTCTGCGCAACCAGAATTCAGATTCCACGATTTGGCTGTTTTCAGATTCGATATGGATACGAAATTTTAGAGGAGAGTCATAGCTGGTTCTTGGAAAATTGAACTGTGGCAGCACCGAGTTGTTGAGAATTGAGATACTCATATGACAGTACCTACATGCATGTTTGTAGAGCGCTTTATAGCTGAGAATGTATCAAATGGATAGCTAAGGTGACTCAGGACTCAAACCTTTGCATAAGATTCCTGAAAACTTGAATGCTATTTGGTTTTGTTTGATTCTAGCTCAGGACCATTCAGACCAGATGGTAGTAAATATATACAGTGTGTCCCAAATTCGATCCTCACCATTGGGATCTCAGTAACTATGAGAGATAGAGAAACGGTTAAATTAGCAAAGTTGTAGCAAATTTGATGTTGAATCAGAATCTATCGAGAAATCCGAGCTAGCTTCAGCCTTTCTTGAGTAATTTGAGAAAATCTGAAATCTTGTATTATTGTTTTTCTCGAATATCTCGGAAACTATTGATTTTATGAAAAAATTACTTCAACATTCTCATAGCACTATTTGGTGCCCTTTTCAATAGTTTTGTCAGTTTCACATCAAAATGTCAAATTTCTGAGATATCACCTACAACTTCAATTTTTCTAATGGATTCCGTATTGAATTTTTACAGATTTGAAATCAGCATAAAATTTCCTTTATAGTGATGTATCACACTCACAGTTTTATTTTATTTGGAATACTGATTTCCAATTTTAGTTTTTATGTCCAGTAGGCTATGCATTCTGTAACTGATAAATAATACTGGAAGTCATCTCCACGACAATTCATTATGTTGTGTTATTAGTTACTACTTCACTCCACCATGACTTTTACCAGAGGTTTTGAATTCTGTGTTCTATGTTCTTGCATAACTCATCACATGGAATCGGATATGTACCATTATCTTTCTTCATTGCTCGATTGATTGAATATTTCTATTCAATAGGTACTGACTTGTCTAATTGCTATTTTTAAGCTCGTCTTAATGCATTAATGAGGACTGAAATAGAAAATAAACTCCCACTAACTGGAAACAATATGAATTAATAAAAGGTGTGTAAAGTACGTTTGTTTCTTTTTACCAAAACCCCTAGCTCTCCATATATTTGTCGTCGATATTCGCTAGTTATAAATTAGTTCAGTGTAGATTTTTGTCTGTTTGTATGCATAATTGTACCATAATCCCTGCAAAATCACTGGTTTTTATGTTATACTATCCGAAAATTTTCTACACTCCTGATTTCGAACCCATCCAGACCATTTGAATGATTTGTGATAGAACCAAAGTGTTTCATAGGCAAACATAATTATTAAAACCGATTTTGGTTTCCAAGGGTAGTTATTTCACTACTGGGGATAATTCTCACCTGTATCGACGTGTTGCAAGTAGGTAACGAAATAATATATTTCGTGTAATTACTAGGTTTTAGATTTGCATTTTGTAGTTGTTCATGAAAGCGTTACAAGGTGTGCCATTTTTGTCATACTGGGTGTTTTGGGAGCGAATAACTCCATGCTTATTTCGAGGCCAGTCAATTCGACCACACAAGCTCATCAGTGAATATAAAGTGTCCAGAAAGGTCATGTCGTAAATTATAGGGCTGATAGAGTGAGCCCAAATAATGTTGGTAATTCATATAAAAAAAATGCCTATCGCGCTTTGTTACCAAGTTATTGACCTTGAAAGTTAGGATAAATGGAATGAATTTCGTGTACAGCTTCCAAACGGTTGCCATGGTATCAATGATATTCAAGCAGATGAATAAACTCATACTAATGCCCCTTTCCATACTCAAACGGATTTTCAGTGAATATGTTTTATACAGGATGGGCCGATTTTTTTGGCAAGGAAGGCATTTTTGACACAGGTGACAAATTTCACATTTTGCTTTCACCTTTTGATTCCTTCATCTTTTATCTACAAAAATTGTATACTTTGTTTCAATCGATATCATGTACCGATCTAGAGAAAATCGCATTTTAAAACATACATTCTAACCTTTTCAGAGGCGATAAAAGCTCCATTTACCTATTTAAGCGAAGAAAAAAAGATTATCAAAAATGGTTTTCAATATGAGCATTTTGAACTCCCAACGCATTCTCTGAAGTTTTTTAAACATCTGCGTTGTACTCAAGATAGCATGTGATGATGATAATTTCTTACGGCGTGTGCAGATGTAAGAACCTATTTTAACAAAGGATCTGGAGGTACTTGCAAAAATGTTGAATATTTATTTATATTTGAAGTTCCATTAATAATATAAAATCTAAAATTGAGCAGTCGCCTATTAGTCCTATGGATACATTGATAATGAATTGAGTTTTATCACCTTTCAAACGGTTGCCATGCATTTTTTCAAATACGATTTTCTCTTGATCGGTACAAGATATCGATTGAAATGAAGCATACCATTTTTGTAGAAAAAAGATGAAGGGATCAAACGGTGAAAGCAAAATGTCAAATTTGTCACCTCTGTCAAAAATTCTTTATATGTATGATTAAAACATATGCACTGAAAATCCGCGTACCTATGGAAAGGTGCATTAGTATGAGATTATTTACCTGTCCGAATATCACTGATACCATGGCAACCGTTTGAAAGATATACACGACATTCATTTTTTTATTCCAACTTTCAAGGTCAATAATTCCGTATAAAGGCGCGATAGACATATTTTCGATATAAAGTATTAACATTATTTTGGCTCACTCTATCAGCCTAATCATTAACCACATGACCTTTCCGGACACCCTGTATGTATTTTAAAACATTCACTTCAACATTTGAGGTTTTCTAATAGCGCCATCTATCAGATAAACTGAACTTATCTCCACTTACTGCCACTGAAACGGCGCTATCCCTGGAGACTCCAGCTCCTCATTCAGAGTCTCTCCGACGCTCTCCTCGACGCCGGTGAAGAATTCTGACGCTTCAGCGGCTATCTCGGCGCCGCTCTCGTGCCGCGCAGGCGCCTCGATGTCCGCCATGTGCAGAAGCGGCGGCAGATGGACGGCGTAGAGCAGCTTGAGCCGGTGGGCCGCGTCGACGGCGCAAGTAAGGCCGAGGGCGGTTGCTAGCTCGCGGAAGTTCAGGAAGCCGTCGCGGTTCTGGTCCATCAGCTGAAATCATCGGGATGTTTAAGACTTCAGACTAAATATAAATACAGTTCTCAACACACTAAATGGTTCAGTCAGTCCATCTAAGATAACTGAGCGAGTGATTAAACAGAGGTTACAGGAATTTATCGACGACAACGAGCTAATTCCAGATGAGCAGTTCCGTTTCAGAACTGGCCACTCAACTGAACTACAAGACTTGAGACTCATTGAGAACACGATATCGTTGAGAAATGATATACAAAAGACCCATCTTGCTCTCCTTGACATAGCGAAAGCATTTGACAAGGTGTGGCATGATGGTATCTTATACAAAATGATCGATATGGGCTTTTCTGACGATTTGATTCAGTTGCTGTGTTCATCTATGAAAAATCGAACCTTTCAAGTAAAACTTGATGATCAACGATCTGGTATCAAGCCCATTGAAGCTGGTGTTCCTCAGGGTGCAGTTTTATCGCCGCTGTTATACAGTTTATGAACTAGCGATTTGCCGAGACCAGTGATGTGCAAGATGTCGCTTTTTGCTGATGATACGGCAGATCTTGCATATTAGACAAATTTCGAGCAATCAGCTATGAACCTCCAAAGCGCACTGAATTCTCTTCAGGAGTACTTCCTGAGATGTAAGATCAAATTGAATCCTACAAAAACACAATTGGTCGCACTCGGAAGGGAGCGGAGGTCTCCCAGAACCAGAATAGTCCTGGATGGTCATGAGTTACAGTGGTCTTCACAAGTTAAATACTTAGGTATGTGCATTGACAAAAAGCTCACCTGGGCCCAGCACATTGAACAGCAAGTTTCAAAAGCTAAACGAGCCATTGAAGCCCTGTATCCATTTCTAAACAGACGAAGTAAATTGAGTTTGAGACAAAACTTGAAAATTTATATCATGGCTATCAGGCGAATTTTACTGTAAGCCTCAGTAGTCTGGGGCCACACAGCCAAATCTCATATCACCAGATTACAAACATTACAAAACATAATCGCGAGAATGGTGACAGGATCTCCTTGGTATGTTCGGAATAACCAGATCGCCAGGGATCTGAAACTCCCTTCAATCGTGTCAGTCATTAGAGAACGAAACATCAAGACTGTCGAAAGAGCTGAGGTTCATGAGGATCAGCTTCATCGAAATGCAGTTGATTATGACCCAGGTGATCGATGAAAGTTCAAAAGACCGAGACTATCCATAAATTAGAGAAAATATCGACATTATGACCAAATTTACTATTCTCAAGTTTCAATTCTCAGAATGTATTTCTGAAACTTATTTGGAGCAGAAGGGCTGTTCGCATCGAACTTAAATACCGTTTTTTATTTCGTTTCATAATAGATATCAGGAGGAGAAGGACTCTTTCCAGGTCTGAGTCGAATAAAAGAAAGATCCAAATATACACTAAATGAACCACTCATAATTTGACTCTATTTCGAAGACCTGTATTTTTTGAAAAAAATTACCGATCTTTATGCGGTTTTCGATATCAGATGTGATGTTTCATCGGCTTCAAAGAGAGCAAAAACACTCTGAAAAAGTCCGCAGAACAAAACTTACACAGGGTGTAAAGTGTAACCATTAGACTATGGTCTACATTTCCAATGGTGCCAGAATTCGAGAAATTTTTTTTCTGATCAAAAGTCAGTCATATTATGATACACTGGGACCTCATCTCGGAATATTTTCGTGATTTCTCCTTGATTGGCCATGGGAACAAAAATTCTATTTTTTTTTTCGAAAGTCTTGCATTTCTTGAATTTTTTGTCTAGAACTCCACTTGAGCTGACTATTGGGAGGAACTGTTCTCATGTTTTGTGGGGGACAATGAAAGACGAAAAAAGCACTATTGTGGAATATACAGGATGATAAGAAAATAGGAAAAAAATCTCAATTCAGTAAAAAAATTAAAAATGGTGACTAAACAATGGCCCATTCGATTCAGTATAGTCAGAAACGGCCTTCTCGATATCCATTATTTATGTTAGACTATTAACTCGAGACGTTTTCGAAAATTCGCCTCTAATTGGAATGCAGAATGAAAATTTTCAATCAAACTTGTTTCCTGATATCGATGATTCTTATCAACTGATTTCCAATATTTATTGCACAAGTATGAGACACAGCAAAAACACTCTGAGAAAGTCCGCAGAACAAAACTTACACAGGGTGTAAAGTGTAACCATTAGACTATGGTCTACATTTCCAATGGTGCCAGAATTCGAGAAATTTTTTTTCTGATCAAAGGTCAGTCATATTATGATACACTGGGACCTCATCTCGGAATATTTTCGTGATTTCTCCTTGATTGGCCATAGGAACAAAAATTCTATTTTTTTTTCGAAAGTCTTGCATTTCTTGAATTTTTTGTCTAGAACTCCACTTGAGCTGACTATTGGGAGGAACTGTTCTCATGTTTTGTGGGGGACAATGAAAGACGAAAAAAGCACTATTGTGGAATATACAGGATGATAAGAAAATAGGAAAAAATCTCAATTCAGTAAAAAAATAAAAAATGGTGACTAAACAATGGCCCATTCGATTCAGTATAGTCAGAAGACTATTAACTCGAGACGTTTTCGAAAATTCGCCTCTAATTAGAATACAGAATGAAAATTTTCAATTGTATTGTTGTTCAATATACTGAGTGTTTCACAACTTATCTGACAAATTACGAACTCTAGAAAACAATAATGTTAGAAGAATGTGGTGACCAGCATTATCTCCAGATCTGAATTTGATTGAACATGTGTGGAGCCGAATGAAACTTAATCTATCGAGAGACACCCCAAAATAATGACAACCTTATCCAAGCTGTATCAGAAGAATGGGAGGCAATATCAATAGACTTCATCAACAACCTCATAGAATCTATGCCAAACCGATTTCATGAGGTTTTGTTAAATCGGGGAGGCCCTACCAAGTACTGGATTTAGGATATAGAATAGAATAGAATAGATTTATTTCCAAAAAAAACATGGTACACATGTGTAGGAATAAGTTCGAGAGTTAACAAATGTGAACTTGACCAAGTATCAAAAATAATAATTTATGACAGAATAGAAAAATCGCTAACAGGAGTAGACATACCTATTTAGATAGAACAGGAAATACGTTGTGCATAATGAATATTTTTGGTTCAAAAAAGAGAGAAAACATCCTCAAACATTATTTTTTAGGGCGAAATTATCATCCATAAGGTATTCACTAACTGTATAGTAAGCCTTAGTAATTAAAATTTCTTTTATTCTTATCTTGAATATTCTAGAATTGTAGTTCTTTATATCGTTTGGAAGCACATTATATAATTTAGCACCCATGTAATGAGCGCTCTTTTGGAGTAATGTTGTGTTGTGTAGGATGATTAGACTGGAAGATTGTCGAGTTTGTGAGCTAGCAAACTGATAGTTGTTTTTATTATATATACAAACACTAAGAGATTATATATATATATATATATATACATCCTGCTATCATTATTGCGTCCAATCATTGCCCTTTTACATTTATTACTGCGTCCTTCTATTTATTGCGTCCATATATGGACGCGATAATGTCATCAACGTTAAACTTTGGATAGAACTGCTTGAAATAATGTAAAAAAATGTGTTTTGAAAGCCCATGCCTCCACCTATCGATAGATCTGAGATTGACTGGTCTATCTGTCCAAATACTCGAGATATGCGGAAAAGTCTTGTAGCACATCGGACGCAATATTATGCGTAAATGAACAGAAAATATACATTGTAGTTCTGAAGACTTCCGCCAGAGCGGAATATACGAAAAATATACGAAATTCCAGTATTTCTATCTGGAGTATCTTATTGCGTCCTTATGTTTGGCAACATTGCATGATTCATTTCATTTCATTTATAGTGAAAAATGGAAGTTCCAAGAGCATCTTGCCTTCCTAAAAAGGATAGGGGGAGGAGGGAGGTGTTTGAATTTTTTTTGTACATTCGGAGGTTATGAGTTCTTGGGAATACTTGCACTGTCATAGAATTCCAAAGCTTTGCCGTTCTATAGACGAATGAGTTTTGTGTGAGTGTTGTTCGACTTATTTCAAGGTTCACAACGTGAGGATGTGCTGACTGGGCCTGTCGAGTTTGTCTGAGTGGTATTTCTAGTGATGGAATGATAGCAGCGATTTCTGAGGAACATTTGCCGTGGAAGTATATATGAAAAAACGAAAGGTCGCCCATTTCCCTACGGTGTTTTAGAGGAGTCAACGTATAAGTGAGTGTGGCATTACCCACCGGGCGGATGGCTCTTTTCTGGATAGAATCTAAGAGGATCAGCGTGTACTTGGGTGCTGAACCCCATAATGTGAGAACCGTCATCTGAAACTGCCTGTGTATGTGCTTTGTAGATCGTGAAAAGCGGTTGAGGTGTACAATAGATCTCCGCACGGAATTGTTGATGGCAATACCGAGCAACGATATAGTGGTCCCGGTGGAAATGGTAGTACCAGACATTGTTAGTTATATTAGGCATACTGAGTTTTGCTTTTCTAGAGGAAATACAAACTTGAGTTTTTATGGCGATGAATTCATCTGGGTTTTTGATTCCCCAGGCCATTGTCGATCTAAATGAAAACCTAGTAGGCGACCTAGTGCGAGGAGGTATGCTTCTGCCTACTAACTACCTAACTAGGTTGTCATCTAGAACGACAATGCCCAGGCTGTTCTTCAGCAAGATCGTCATTGGCAGGGTTGACTTGTCTTCGTCGTAAGTTCTGAGTTTCCTGGAAAGAAATGGGAATTCTAGATGAGAATGCAGATTATGGAAAGTTTTATCGTCTGCAAAGCTTGGATAGGGCAAGTGGATCCTAATGAAGAGCCGGAATTGATCGTCATTGACAGCATTGACTTGCCTTCGTCGTAAGTTCCCATCAGTTTTCTGAAGAGAAATTAGAATTATAGAAGATAATGCAGATTATGGAGAGTTTCATCGTCTGCAAAGCTTGGATAGGGCAAGTTGATCCTTGTGGAAAGCCGGAATTGAT